CCACTAAACCCTCTTTGCACGTAGCCCAAGCCAACAATTGTTTCTGCGTTTTTCTTCTCACGAAGCCTTGCACCGAAACCTAGGAAAGGCTACCGCCAGATATTTATACCAATTTAGGATCGGGTGGGCCAGAAATTACAAATAAAAGAACACCTTATCTCCTCACGTGGTGTAGCCCCCACGCGTCCTAGCCTCCCACGCAGAAACGAGTCCGCGTTCACCCTTGTAGCCGAAAAAACACAAAACCGCTGCTCACGTTCACAGGCTTCCCTCAAAATCGTTGTATTTTCTCATAAGTGGCCCGTGTTGTCTGCTCCAGGTGGTACGGAGCATCACGTACGCATTGACTCTCCATTCATTTCTGGCACAACGTGGGCATAGAGTTCACGTTGTCACTGCTGCTCCACCTGTCATTGGGAATTATGTTATTTCGCTTGAGTATCTGAAAATACATGCTCTTAATTAAGGGTTGGCCGAACCAATAGATGTGGGGAAGCATGCAAGGGAGCTTTAAGAGGCTGAGAACCACGTAGAACCATTTGATGCCATCCACTCTGAGAGTGTCACCATGAATCATAGGTAACATGATACTATGAAATATTATTCAAATGACGCACATTCGTTGAATAGTTGATGCGCGCGTCAAATATTGTTTTTTTTTCTCCACTCTTGTGTAAACATCTTCTATGTTTGTGAAGCCCCAGTTTGTTGCAACAGAGCGGCTTCACAGACACAGAATAAGTCTATACAATAGTAGACAAAGAGAACATCACACAATGATTTAACATGGTTCGGTCAGTATAACCTACGTCCACGGACGAGAACAGCAGAAAACTTCAGTAATCACAAAAGCGAATATTACAAAAGAGGAGATCACTCTCTAACCTCACTAGATAATCACACAAAGAAAGAATTATCTTTCTATCTCACTATCTTCTCTCTAACTAATTCTTTTCTTTTTCTCTCCGACTGATAATCTTAAACCCTCCCACACCCCTCCTTATATAGCTTACAAAAAATAATAAAATAATAAAAAAAGGTTTGGTGGAATGTTAGGTGGGTTGCAAATTTTGAAAAATGTGACACAGAATTAGGCAGAGGTTGAATTTCAAAGTCATATGTTTAACAAATCTTCACCTTGACTTTGAAAATGAAGATATTCTCTTTACTCTTGCTGTCTCGCCAAAAGCCCCTTACGAGCTTAACCTCCGCTTTGTTGAACTTTAAACAATTTGAGACAGTGCTCGAACTTGCGCGAATGTATGAGCTTTGTCATCATATCTGTTGGATTATCTTTAGTACCAATCTTCTCAATCTTGATGACTTTAATTTCTCTGATAAAATGATACCTAACATCAATATGTTTGGTTCTTTCATGATACATCTTATTCTTCGTCAAATGTATAGCACTCTAGCTGTCAGAAAATACCAAAGTAACACCTTGGTGTAAGTCAAAATCTTCAACCAAACCTCTCAACCAAATGGCTTCTTTCACTACTTTTGTCACTATCATATACTTTGCCTCTATGGTAGACCATATATTCTGATCTGTAGTAGACAAAGCAACTATCAACTGGAGAGTCGCCTTCCAACTAATGACACTATCTAAAAGAGTGAATAGATAACTTGTCAGGGATTGTCTCTTATTCAAATCGTCCGCATAATCTGAATCAGGATAGCCAAGTATTCTATAATCCGAGTTTGTGTTCCAGCTAAAATATAAGACAATATTAGCAGATCCTCTCAAATATCTAAGTATCCATTTCACAACCTGCCAATGGACCTTTCCAGGCTTATCCATATACCGACTCACAACACTGACTGCATGTGAAATATCTGGACGGGTGCAGACCATAGCATACATAATGCTTCTAACTGTACTAGCATAAGGAACACAAAACATGTACTGCTCCTCCTCCTCAGTCTGAGATGATATATCTGCTGAAAGATGAAAATGAACAGAAAGCAGAATCTTCATAGGCTTGGCATCAAGCATGCCAAATTTCTATAACACCTTCTTAATGTATTTCTCCTGAGATAGGAATAGGCTTCCTTCTTGCCTGTTTTTATGAATCTCCATCCCCAAAATCTTCTTTGTGGCTCCTAAGTCCTTCATCTCAAACTCATGTTTGAGTTGAGATTTTAACTCGTTGATTTCTGACATATCTTTAGCAACAATCAACATATCATCAACATACAAAAGCAAATACATAAAAGAACCATCATTGAGCTTTTTATGATAAACACAACTATCATATTTACTCCTAGAGTAACCATGCTCAAGCATGAAAGTATCAAATCTCAAATACCACTGTCTCGGAGACTGTTTTAACCCATTCTTGCATAACGCCTGCAGTGACTTTTCTCCTACGTCACCCAATCTGTAGTGCAAAAGTCTGCTCGCATCCGTCTCTAAAATAGCTGAAGCTACCTAGCCAATCTCGATGCTTCCCTTCAGATAGTAAAGATTCCTACTGTGGACCGCCTTCATCACTACCAAAGACCCCTTAGCAACTTTTGCTACAGCGTTCTCAAAAGTCACATTGAATCCATTTGCCTCCAAAGCTCCAACAGAAATAAGTTTCTTCTTCAGCTGAGGAACAAATCTCACTTCATTCAGCTCTCGAACAACTCCATCGTGCATCCGAATCCTGACGGTACTCATCCCACAAATTCTATAGGACTGGTTATTTCCCATTACCACCACACCCCCATCGAGCTTCTCAAATGATGCAAACCAATCTCTTCGGAGAGACACATGATAAGTAACACCAGAATCCAGCATCTAATCCAATGCATCTACATGGTTTACCTCTAGAGTAATCAATAGAGAAAAACATGAATCGTCGAAATCATTACCACTCTTAGTAACATTCACCTCACTGGCCTTTGGGCCCTTCTTCTTGCTATTCTCCTTCTCTCTGAGCTTCAGACAATCTCTCTTCTAATGTCCTTGTTCTTTGCAGAAAGCACACTGGTTCTTCGCTAATTAGTAGTGGCCTCTTGACTTTGACCTGCTTCGATTACCACCTCTCGGATAGGGACTTCTTCTTCTTGTCAACAAGGCCTCTCCTGAAGTGCTAGCTCTGGAAGACTCATTGTCCTTCCTCCTCAAGTCGAAATTCATCAACGCATTAGTCACTTCATTATAGATGATGGAAGATCTACCGTTTAACAAAGTGAGCACGAATGTATCATATTCTTCATCGGGTAAGGAGCCTAATAAAATAATCATCTTGTACTCATCCAATATCTTCTCATCCACATTCGCCAAGTCCAACAATAACTTTGTGTAGTTGTTCACATGATCTGCAAGTGAGGTACCACTGGACACCTAAAATCTGAACAATCTTCACAGTAAGTGCAACCGATTCTCAATACTCTTCGTAAGATATTTGTTGTTGAGAATCTCGCACATCTTCATCGTAGACGTCACGCTGATAACATCGTACTTCAACTCTTATTCTGATCTAATCACGTCACATGCATTTTGATTCATCTTGTCTCATATCACCTCATCATACTTCGGTGGCCTCTCATGGACCATGATGGTCTCTTCTAAATTTTGAGCATTCAAAGCATCCTGCACATCACTGATCCACAACTCAAAGTTGATCTTGCCGTCATACTTCGCAACACTGATCTTTGTATTCTGAAGTGTAACTTGAACTGTATTCATTGTAGCCTTGCAACTATCATCACTATCTCCTGCCATTGCTTGATAACCCTAAATTGTAGAGAAAGAAATCACCGAGTCCCAAAAACAAACCCTAGGTCTAAAACCCTAGGCTTTGATACTAATTATTGCGCGTCGGTAGAAGCGTGCGCACGAACCAAATGAGTCGGTGAATAACGAAAGGAGAACAACCAATGAGTGCAATTCACAAAAGAACAGCACAACTAATCACAAACACAGAGAATTTACATGGTTCGACAAGTTGTCTACGTCCATGGGGAGAGGATGGAGAGATTTTACTATATGGAGGAGAAATACAATGGGTTATAATTCTCTCAAACACTCAAAATAACTCTAACCAACAATATCTCACTCCTTCACAATAATCCCCCTCTCAAAGTTCTCAAAAGACTCTCTTTTCTCTCTCTTATTCTATGATTCTCATCTTTTCTAAAACGTTCCATATATATAGAAACTCTAAAACCAAAACAGACTAGGAATCCAATAATTCTAAAACTAAAACAAAAAAAAAACAGACTAGGAATCCCAATAACCCTAAAACCAAAACAGGCTAGGAATCCCAATAACCCTAAAACCAAAACAGACTAGAAATCCAACAATTCTAAAATCAAAATCAAAACAGACTAGGAATCATGTTTGGCCCAATAAAGTGCTATCCAACAGAGATTTGTCATTTGCATATAATAAGTCGAAACAGCTTGAGTGACCCATTGGATCAATGATGCATGACCAGCAATTAGCGACAATGAAACCTTCCATCCAGCAATCCTCTTCTGAACTTTCTCCAAGATAAATCCGTATGATATTTGAAAACATTGTCACGATGAAACTGTAGAAAATTAAATATGGAAGAGGGAATGTGATAGTTGTATTCATCTTGTAGTATCATTGTTTTGGACTCATTATCTCTGTAGTTTTGTTGTTGCAAACAAACCCTTGGGTGACTTTTTATTTTTATTTTTATTTTTATTTTATTTATTTATTTATTTATTGACTCTTTTACCATGAGATGAACTCACTAATTAATTCACCCATGGTCAACATCCACTAAATTTTCACCAAGGCTAAAAGAGCCCAAAGTATAATAATAATAATAACTCAAGGGATCTACCTACAACAACGGATAGTAAATTCATAATAATAATACTACATTGGGCATATATGTAATTAACTCTCTGTTATTTTAGGACAAGGAGGCAAATATTTTGAATATTTTTTTACTCTTTGATGCACCAGAATGCATGAACTACTAAACAACTTCTGCCCGTGCACATATCGACTGGGTACAATGTTTTACCTACAGGTTCGCCAGCCGCGTACCAAATCTGGCAGTCTCCTGGCACGGCATCGCCTCGGAAGCACTCCAATCTGGCATCTACCAAGACCTTATCCGGTCCCCCGACATGGACCCAGCCTTAAACCGCAGTCTCTCGATGGCCGTCTTCAAGGTGATAAACGAGATCAGGTTCTTCAAGAACTACGAGCACCACATAGCCACCAGCGATAGCGTTGGCGAGATTCTGAGGGACATTTATCAGGTTCCAGAGAGGAGGGTGCACGTTATACTCAACGGAGTCGATGAGGAGAAGTTTGGGCTTGACGATGAGCTCGGAAATGGGTTTAGGAGTGAGATTGGGATCCCGGAGGATGCAAAGATTGTCATGGGGATCGCCGGGAGGTTGGTCAGAGATAAAGGTATAGATTTGCGATTCTCTTTAATAATTTTAGTTTAGTTTCCTAAATTATTAAAAACTTTGTTAGATTTCCTAATTAAGAATCAAAGTCTCCTTACTCCAAATTAGGTATGTCATATTTTCGTAGAAGTAGATCCTCATCAATACAAATAGATACAAAGGTGTGATTTTGCGAGAGTTTAAAAGAGGAGGGCTAACGAGAAAGGTTAACTTGTTTAATCTATTGTAGAAACTAAAAATAATTAAACTCTGTTTGAATTAGATAGTGAAGACGACAAACTTTTCTTTCTTTCTTTCTTTTTGTTGGGTTAGCTTTTTGGGGAATAACCATTTCCTGCGTGCCTATCAAAAATACAACAGGCCACCCGCTAGTCTACGCAGCCTTCAAGAAGCTAATCACAACACACTCCAATGTCTACCTCATTATCGCCGGCAGAGGCCCCTGGGAGCAACGCTACAACGGGCTTGGCCCCAACGTCATCACCCTCGGCGCTCTTCCCCCCTCCCGCCTCAAAGCGTTCTACAACGCCATCGACATCTTCGTCCACCCTACCCTCCGTCCACAGGGGCTTGACCAGACCCTAATCGAATCCATGTTATGTGGGACTCCGATCATGGCGACGAGGCTTCCGAGCATAAAAGGGAGCCTGCTTGTTAATAAGGAGTTTGGTTTTATGTTCCCACCAAATGTGGAGGCTTTGGGGGCGGTGATGGAGGCAGCGGTGGCAGAGGGGAGGAGGAGGTTGGAGGAGAGAGGGAGGAAGTGTAGGGAGTATGCGAGGGGGAGGCTCACGGCGACTAAGATGGCGATGGCACACGAGAGGCTGTTTCTTTGTATCAAGAATGAGAGTTATTGTATGTATCCTCTAGGTTTTGATTGAATTTATTGTTTAGACTTGGGATAAAGTAACGAAATGCGTCGGAGTTAAGCCTCATGTTTCTTGTGTTAAGAAAGAGAGTTGTTGTATGGATGATTCTGATTGCGTTTAATTACTGGTTAGACCCGAAATAAATTATACTATCATATTTGAGTTCTCTCTCATGATTCTTTGTATTAAGAATGTGACTAATTGTACGTATCATTTGGATTTTGATTGAATTTATTGTTTAGACTTGGGAAAAATTATACTAATTAATATGGCTGTGAATATCAGGAAACTCATTTCCGCACATGAACTTCAATCAATTATAACTTAAATCATCTCATTAGCATGATTCAAGAAACTAGTAGGCAGATAACACGATCCTTCAATTGCAAAAGACGCTTTTTGAGGGTTTTTGTGTGAAAACTAGGAAGTTCTTTATTTTATGGGATTTGGGGTTTATTTGGCCCTTTAGAATTTTGGGGCCTTTCACCTTTGTATAAAAACCTTTCGGGCTTAGTGGGAAAAACAAAGTGCAAGGTGAGTTCGTGGGAAATGCGACAAAGTTCCTGAGGGATTTTGCGTTACCCTTTTTTTTTACAACAACCATAGGTCAACTAGGGGTGTCCAAAAAGCCCGCCGGCCCGGGCCCGGCCTCGGCCCGGCCCGGCCCGGCCCGGCCCGGCCTCGGCCCGGAAACCCGGGCCAAGTCCGGGCTCCGGGCCGGGCCTTGGGCCGCCTTTTGGTGCCCGGCCGGGTCCCGCCCGGCTCGGGAATAGTGTTTTTTTTAATTTTTATATGTATTATATATGTATAATATATGTATATAAATATATTTTTAATATATGTATAATATTGCTACTATAATATATTTGATTATATGTATAATATGGTGTGTATATATACTCTTCTTTATATAAGGGGTATAATGTATGTATGTATGTATATATATACTCTTTTTATACTTATACAGGTATATATAAGTATACTCTTCTGTTATATTATTACAGGTCGTCTCTTATATAAGTATATATAAAAGTATTACACGTCTCTTATATATTATAATATGTGGTGTGTGTATTACGCTCTCTTCTCTTGTATATATGTATATATTAAAGTATACATATCTTCTTATATAAGTATATATAGGTTACTCTCTCTTATGATATGTATAATATGTATACGCCTCTTATAAAGGTAATACTCTCTCTTTATATATGTATACTCCATCTCTATATAAGTATACTCTCTCTTATATATATATTTAATATATAGTATAATGATGTGTTGTGTATACTTCTCTTCTCTTAGTATATAAGTATGTATATTACAACGGCTACTTCTTCCCCATTGGCCCAACGGGCAATGGCTACTTATGCGATTTTCTCTCTCAAGTTATAACTTATAAATATATACAATATATTTACATATAATATATGTATATATAATATATATAATATATGTATATATAATATATAATTACATAATAATTTGTAAGTATATACTAATACATAATTATATAAAATATAATAAATTTAAATTAATTTTTAGCATTTTTTATCAAAAAAAAGAAAAAAATTTAAAAAAAAATCCGGGCCGACCTGGAGCCCGGTCCGGTTGGGCCCGGGCCCGGGCCCGGATTTCCGGGCCGGGCCGGTCCGGATGGACAGGCCTAGGTCAATGTATGTTTTGTTGGTACTTCAATAGGCCAATAGGTTATTTCTTGAACTTAAAGGGGTGTGTTTGGCAACTTCTCATTTATCAAGTAATTTGGTTTAAAATTGAACCAAGGTGGGGGTGGACCAAAGATAATCTTTTCTAAACTTTAAAAAAAGTAGTCTCATCTTGATATAATTGTCAAACACATTTTAAGATCTTCTCCAAGTGAGTGGGTGAGTTGCCAAATAGGTCTAATAGATAAAATATTTGTTAAAAAGTTAAATATAGGTGAAAAGAGTTTCTTCTAACTTATTCTTCAGCTAAATTACCAGATTGGAATTTTTTTTTCTTGGTCTATTTTACTACTTTGATAAAAAAAATCTTGCTCAGGCATCATTTTGATTTTAATTTTCCCCCTTAGCCCATTGTACAAATAGACCCAAAAGTCAGATGACGGCAAATAATAATAATAATAATAATAATAAATGGGAATTGCTGAAATGGAGTATATTAAAAGGTAATTTTTTTTGTTGGTTTGGATTAGCTGAAATACAAGAGAAACACATTCAAAATTAGGGTAAAAATTAGGTAAGGACTTAAATCAAAGTTCTCACTTTTCAATTTCATCTTCATCATCTCCAAATTTCTTGAATATTCAGTATATGCCCACTTCAAGTTCAAGCTCAAAATTTAGCTTGAACTTGAATTTGAGCTTGAACTTGAAGAAGGCATACTGAATATTCAATAAATTTTGGAGATGATGAGGTGAAATTGAAAAGTGGAAACTTTAATTTAAGCTCTAGCCTAATTCTGCTTTAATTTTGAATGAAAGAGGGATGAGAAAAATGTGCTTCTCACATGCTTCGACTAACACTAGCAACCAAAAAATTTACTCTCTAATATACTCTATATCAGTGTCTCGGGGTTTTTTTTGGTCGGTAGCCAACTCTTGGATTTATTCGTGCAATGGGCTAAAGAAAAATATCCAAAATAATGCTGGAGCGAGAAAAATCGCCATAGGAGTAAAAGGGGTCAAGAAAAATTAACATTCTGGTAAATTTGGCTCTTATTCTTCAGAGTTTTGTACCATTGTTGAACCTCGCACATTCTTCGGCTACTATAATTCACATTAGCGAGGCCTAAACAGAAACCCATAGGCCCCGTTTGACAAATGGTTAAGGAAGAAGGGTTAAAGAGAAGGATTAATGTGTTTAACCCATTCGATAATCTAAAGGACTAAATTATTAACCCGTTAAATAAGTTTTATTTTAGCCCTTGTGATTAGTTTTAGTGTTTGGGAATAACAATGATTTTAACTATTTTCTTTATAATTAGAAGGGTTAACTCTTATTCCTTCTAATTAGGAGTATTAGTAAACCCCTCATTTTGAGGGGTTAACTCATTTTAATCCCTCTAGAGGGGTTAGCTTAACCCTTCTATATTTTTTATGTTTGGCAAATTATGAAGGGTTAACTTACTTTAACCCTTGTATAGATTTTTTGTGTTTGGCGGGTTAAGAATGAGTTAAGTCTCCTTAACCCCTCACTTAACCTTTTGCCAAACGGTACCATAAAGAATACTGCTTCAAGTCGTATCCGGCCTAATTCCTACCTTGACTAGGATAATATTGGAGGTAGGGGTGCTAAACTGTATCCGTATCCGAGGAAATATCTGTTGGACCCTAAGGTCGCTATGAAAGAACCCTAGAGGGGGGGTGAATAGGGTTTATGCTAATCTAATCCGATTTAAATGTCAATTAAAACTTACTAACAAATATCCTAGCAAATATGATATGTAACAAGATAACTATGTAAGGATATGAAACTAACACAAGGGTAAAACAAGATATAAACAATATAGTGGATGAAGTAAACAATGAGAGAGTGGCAATAAAGATGTTCACAAATATCAGTGCGCCAAGCCAAACTCAAACAAGCAATATGATCACGGAGTTCGAACATCTCGTCCTACGTCTCCGCTCCCCACTCCCCACTCCCGAAGAGAATTCTACTATCACACCAGGTTTTTAACGATTACCCGAAAACGTTTACACCACACAATATCGGTTTTCAACGCTCACCGATCAACGTTCACAATCACAATGTAACTACACTAACTACCACCTCAAGTGTTGGTCCTCACGTATCGACTCCCTCAAATGCTCGGAATTATCACCTCTCACTAGGCCACCGACGCCACTCCTCTCGGTATCGACTCCGTCCTCACCACACACTCCTCTTGGTGTACTAGTGTATTACAAAGTGTTCCTCACAATTAAGGTTCACAAATACAAATAAATTTGTTCTCTACAATGGATGAGAACACAATATAAGCTCACACTCTAAGTCACACAATCCCACAACCCAAATTATACTAAGTATGAAAATACAATAAGCTCAATGGTTGTGTGTGTACAAAGAGATAAATAAAATTAACTAAACTCAATATAAACACTAGCTTAATAAAATGATAATCAAACAATAAAATGTAAAGCTAGATTGAGTTTAGAAAACTTCTCCAATAAATGACAAGAGTGTGAGAGAGATGATTTGAAGCTCAAACACCAAAGATTATCTCCTCAAGCCCTTGTGAAATTATCTTCACAAACGAAACTCTTAAACAAGGCTTAAACACCTTTAAACAAAACTTAAACCCTTATTTAAAACTCTTTTAAACTTGTTTAAAACATTTCATTAGCTCAACTAAAAAATGAGAGCAAAGGGGGTTTATATAGCCACCTAAAACCTCAGCCAAAAACCCCAAAGAAAAAGACCAAAAAGCCCAAGAATCAGAAATCTGATTCTGTACAAATATAGCCGTTACAGTGTTATGGGTCGACTCGTCACTGTTCATGAGTCGACTCATAACTAGCTGTTATAGGCTAAAAACAACTTATGGGTCGACTCATAAAATTCATGAGTCGACTCATCATGCATGGGTCGACTCATGAGGTCATGGGTCGACTCAGCAGAAACAAATGACAACTGTGCAAGACTTTATGAGTCGACTTGTCACTGTTCATGAGTCGACTCATGACATGCACATAGTCTGTTTTGCACAGTAAAAACCAACTATAAACAGGGTTTAAAAATATCAAATAAATTCTAAAAATTATGAAACTTTGGGAAATGTTTATAAACATGTTAATGAACATGTTACAAAAAGAATTTTTGGAATTGCACTTCTCATTTATGAAAACTTGTCATTTTACAAAAATGTCCAAAACATGCAAACATTTTGATGTTTTGACATAAACCAAGTTTTGAAACTTTGTAAACTGATTTTATAGACTTAATGAAAGATGTAAACTATTGTTATGAAGTCTATAAACAATGAATATAGTATTTTAACAAAATACACATATAATGCACTAAAACATGTGATGCGGTATAATTATGTACCAAAAAGTTGCAAGTGCACAACCGTGTCAAGTTATAGTATAAAGATATCGATCTCACAAGGAAGATGTTTTGTAGGAGAAAATATAAAATCGATTCTTATGTTATGTGCGTGACAAAAA